TAATTTCAGCTCAGTCTTTCAAAATAAAAATTACAAATCTATGGATCTCTATTATGACTATTCAATAAAATTTGAACTCTAAAAGCAATTTTTATTTTGAGTATATTTGTGGTACTTCAGATATCTCCATAATTTTTTGATTAAAATTAAAATTAAAGATTTTGATTGTATTTCAAATATTAGCAATAAATGATATCTAAAATAACATTTAAGTGAATAGATTGGATTTCTCTTATAATAGAGAATATATGGAATAATCTTTTTTTCGAAAATCTTAATTAAATATTTAGAAAGCTCAGTATGGTTAAATATTGATCAAAATATCTATGAATGTAAAGTTTAAAAACATATTACATAAGATTAAGGATTAAATTTAATTAAATTTTTTAATAATATATCATATTTAGTTTTTTTTGACAAATCCAAATCAAATTCTTCACGTTTTTTTGTTCCGTATATAATGGAAAGCATCATCATTCATTGCTACTGAAGGCTCACTTCAACAAAATTAACAGTAATAGCAGCACTTAAACAACTAAAAATCTTCAGAAACAAAATTCAACGATTTAAGTACTCCCTTCCAAATTTGTAAACAATCAGTTCCTAATAGTAGTAATCATCTTCCTTTTATACTCAATCAAATACTAATAAGAGAGATTGGAGTACTATTCCAAAGACCAAAAGATATTCCCAACACAGAACTCTTCATAATTCAGAGAAGTTTAAAAGACACCAGATATATAGGTGAAAATTTCCAATCTCTTAATTGATTCAATTAGGAATAGGAGAAAGGTTTCTTCCAACTTAGAGAGTAAAGATCCCAATTCCAGAGACTTATCTTGTTAACTGTCCTTAGCTCTCATTAATGTAGGTCCACCAAGTTTCAAAGCCTATATAATCATTAAATAAATCTAATCTCAATTTATTAACATATATTTCAAAATCACCAACTACTTTCTTTGTCCACGCACTATTTCCATAAACTGAGTCATCATTGCACTTTACACCAACTTTCTTCAGATTACTTGCTTCTTACAATTCATTACAAAATCAGCATAAATCAGTTGTTTAGCCCCAGAATAAGGGATTTTTATCCTACCTAACAGCATTACGATCTTGCTAAGAGATCTAAACTATAAGGTTTTAAATTTAAAAGGTTTAAATATTATAGCATTTTATTAGAGGAATCCTTTGAATAAGAGAAATCTCTTTGAAAAATAGTCCAATTATTTCTATTCAAAAGCTTTATTAATTTTCTTTATTCTGTATCATCCTACTATTATCCTTGAACTTGTCTAACTCCTTCAACCTTCTCTCCAACTCTTTATACCTTAATCTCTACCATAATTGACTCAAGTATTAAACTTTTTTTCTTTTTTTTAAACTTTAATTTTTCCTAAATTTATGAGTTTATAATTTTTAATCTTGCTCAAATTGCTAACAAACCCCTGTAACATCTTAATATTAAATAGAGAGATATTACTGGTCTCATAGGTTTATATTAAGTGCTAGCCTCTGTTAGCATTATTTATTTGGCCAATCCAGAAGATACAATAATGGCATCTCTTACTTGTCTGATCATATTAGACTTTTTAAAGATTAAATGAATTCATTTGAATTTTCATGTTCAATCTATGTACTGTTATCAAAATAAACTTTATTTTTCTTTTAATTTTTTCTTCCTTAATTACTTTAATATAGATTTGCTTAAACTTATGCTAATATTTCATGTTCTATAGTCTTTTTATTAAAATTTTAAATCTCTACTGAAGCATTAATAAACTAGAATCTCCAATTTATTTAAATTATTATTAGAATAGCTTAAAAACTAATCTCATAGTCTCTTTTATCTAGTTAATTAATTTTCTCTGCACACTTATTAGTATGATATAATCTTTCCATCTCATTAGATGAATGTATCTTTTAACTGTAGAGTATGGGTTAGGTACAAAAAGTCTTAGGTTATAGCTAGGAAAAACACCAGCATCATGAAAATAGGCTAGTCCTCCAGCAAAATATAACTTTTAAATTAATTCTTTGATTTCTTATGCTTTGTAATCATTCTCAATTTCCATTATTATTATTTCAAAATTTTTTCTCTTATTATTATTAATTTTTATATCCTTCATCATTCCTAAATTAGTATATTATTTTCCAAACGCTCCTGTTTTTTAGGTTATAACTATTACTCACTATATTAAATTCTTCTAATCTTTGAGATTTATCATGTGTTGAATGCAAAAAGTAGAACCTTCCTATGCTTGTAATCCAGGTTCTGATAAATTAAATTCCACTCCTTTTTCTGAAAGTAGTGATTAGATCACTACCAATTTGTAATTTCTAGGCTCAATTTTAGCTAAAGAAGCTTCAATCGTATCTGACCAATTCTCTTATTGCAAGTAATCAAGACAAAATTTCTCAAACATCTTGCTAGTTTAGATTTTATATTCCTTAATATAAGACATTAAGGAGGTGAAATTGAGAGCTCTTTCTAGCATTGAGTTTCAATTTGAGCTCGTAGAACCAGACCTATTATAGTTACTACTCAGTAAAAAACACTAGATTTAAGCAATTGTTTAATTTGATCATATAATTTATATTAACCCTTAAATAAATTACTAATTTTGTTCAAAAAGGTTGTTTTCTAAAGATTATGTACTATTTATTTAGTTCAAAATATATTTTTCATCAAGAGTATCATCATTATTTAATGAAAAATATAAATTGTTGTCCATATATCAGTACTCGATTACTTTAGGAGTTATTGATACTTCTCGAAAGTATTTAAAGCAATTTTAAAAAGCTGTAAATATTAATTTTGTTTTAATTAATTGTTCATCTTTAAAATAATATTTTCATCCCTATTGATAACTGAATAAAAATAGTTGCTGCAATATCGACACTTAAATTGAATATATCTTAATAAAAAATTAGTTTATTGAAAATGATAATCAATTAAGTGATAGTTAATCAAAAAAATTAAATACAAACTTTGATCTATAATGATTATTAGAAAATAATTATCTATTTTATTTATTTTAAAGAAAAGCTTACTTTTTTTTAATTTTATTATAAGCCTAATGGAATTAAAAAATACATGATTCTAAAATTAAGGTATTATAAATCAATTTTAAATTTCAAGTAAAACTTTTGAATGAATTACTAAAGCAACCCAAATCTATAAGGATTTCTTCTTTCAATCTTTTTCTTATTTAATTTTTGTTAATATAAAAAAAACTCTCTATTCAATTTTCAAATCCAAACCTAATTATCTCTAAAATTCTTAACATTTCAAGAAGAATTAAATCTTGAGATATAATTATTTCAGGTAGATTTTAGAAATATTTTTCTTCAAACCTAAATTAATTTTGTATTCTACAATATATTTTGAATAGATAAATCTAATTTGGAAAATTATGAAGATAAAGTTTAAACTCAACATCTATGATCAAGTATTCTTTCTGTATTGATAGAATATTTTATAATTTGGGCTTTTATAGCCATTTCTCATGTGTCAAGAAAATTTGAAAAAAATAGTGAATGCTAATTTAAATGATGTAGTGAAATTCAAAAATACCTCTATATTGATCATATGATGTGAGTGTATAAATTCAAAATGAAATTTCCATTTAAGAAGTCAATCAATATTTTGGATTTATAAGATGTGACAATAAAATGATGAGGCTTAGTAATTATACAGTAATCACATAATATATTTACTTGTAAGAAACTCTAAAAATCTAAACCTCATCATATTTTATAGTAGGACAGTAAATCTTTATTATTTCTAAAAAAAACTTACCTTTGAAATTATATATTCACTACTTACACTATTGTTTAAAAAGCTATGGGTTAATTATTAATACTTACACAGATCATATACTTTGTTTACAATACAAATTAAAAAGTGGTTCTATTTTCTAACCCTCAATATTAATTTAATAATAAGCTGTCATGGTGAAAGATCTTTGATGCTTTTTGTAAAACAGCACAAAAGAAAGTGATAGTATACTATCTAATAAAAATAGTATTTAAGAATATTTTATCTTCTATTCAATTTTCAACTTAAGCTCAAAGGAGCAGATTAGGATAAAAATTATTTCATAAACTACCTAATTTAATCTAAAGGGCTTCTGTGTATCAATCAAGACCAAATTATTATAAATCTCAAGTTCCAGGAATTTAGTCATAAGAATCTCAAGATCAAGTTACTTCATTCTATTAATATAACTTTAATTTTAGTGATCCTAAATCTCTTTCAAAATGTCTTTAAATGGTCTCACATAAACTCCAAATTAACTACCTTAAAAAACTCTCTCATTATTAACTTACCATAGTAATAAAGATATTTTTCATAAACTTAAAAAATTTACTGCTGATATTTGACTTTAACCATGAGAACTATTTCCTTAGTTAAAATAAAATACAAAATTAATATTTTTATCTTGTATTATCTTAATTAATTTAATAAAAAGATTGCAAAGAATAAGATTTATCATTAAATATGTTGTTTATGATGAATCCTTTGTGTATTATTTAATATTTGAACATGTATGAAATGCTATCAAAGATATATAAATTCAAATCCTGCGTTTTTTTGTTTTTGCTTGCTATGTAACCTAAAAATCAATTCAATAAATTATGCAAGAGAAGCTTTGTAATCTATTTATCTAATAGACTTACATAAACTGCATTAATTAAATGTTATCTCATGATATTATGAGAATAATTAGGAATCAATCAAAAAGGATGAAGATCCTAAGATAATGAATTTTCATTTGTTGTTATAGTTTCTAAACTGTCAAACAATCCAACCTAATTGATTTAAATAATTTAATACTTAATTTTAATTAGTTAGTAATTGGTTAAGAAACATCCTTATTGGATTACCAAATAAACTAAGTGTTGCAATTATTTGTTCGAATTCTTTAATTTATATCTTTGTGAAAAATTAGTTTCTTCTGATATGACTAATTATTATTACAGGTTAAAATTTGTTTTAAAATTATTTTTAATTTAGACTAAGATTCTGCAAGATAATGTAAGAGGTATTTTAATTAAATAGAATTTAAATTCATTTCTTTCTAAACTAGGGCTAAATAATAAGAATATCAAGAGAAGATATCTGTCACTAAATTAATAATGACAAATACATAGTAAGAAATCTCAAAAAATGAGGATTTTTTTAGTCTCTTTAGCCATTAAAGTTATTTTTCAATTAGTCTAGATAAAAGAGCTTTTTTGATGGAATTGAGATCATTATTTTACTAATTCAATAAAATTAAATTTTAAAACAAAATAGTTAACAAATTAAAAATTTAAATTAATTTTTCTAAATTAGTATACAAGTTTTGATGGAATAAATATACTTATAATTCTAAATTTTATTACTCTATTTTAGCAAGTTTTTGGTTTTAGTTTGTTGTTAAAAATATTGATTTTTTAAAAGTAAGCCTAATTTTTGCATCATTTTTGCAGTTTAATCATTCTATTATAGTTAAATAATTAATGAGGCTTTTTCTTAAATGTGTTAATAAAATTGATTTCATATAAAATATATTCATATATATATTTATGTATTTTTCATAATTCATGATATTTCCTAATTTATATTTAATGTGATTATTTATCCCATGTGATCAAATACTATCCATCTTCACTCATTCCTCCAAATAAATAATTAGTTCCAAAATGAATAGATTATTCAGTTAGAAACTCTCCATTTTATTTTTTTCTTATCAAATTGACATATTCACCATTCTTACTTAATAAAATACATTTTGAATTTATGTATTATTAAGGAAATAAACATTCGCCATCTGATCCACACTTAATAGTAATATCTCTAGTTTTCGTAAACTATTTATTGATATTATTCATTTCAAAGACAGATATCTATTCTTAATCTCTTTGTGACAATGTGAACATATTATTATCAATAAAGCATACTCTATATCCACAATTATTAATATTAATCTTTTGTATTACTTTCCATTCTGTATTCTATCCTTAATTTTCTATTATTAATATTAATTTATCATTTCCACATGATACTATTCTATTTTATTATTAATTCAAACTCAATCCATATACAGAACGAGAATGATCAGTAATTGTTTATTAACATAACCATTCATTCTTCTTTATCCAAAATTTAATAGTATTATCATAACTACCTGATATAATTAGATCTTCATTTATATTTAATACTAAACAAGTGATTACTCCATTATGTCCATTTAATATCTATAATGAACTCCATAAATAATTTTAATTTTATTTCCATATTCTAATAGATTTATCTACACTTCCAGATATAAACTATTTCGATTTCTTCATGAAGTTTAAAGTATATACAAAATCTTTATGTTCATTTAAAGTTTAAATTTCTTTGATGATTCCTTATTTGAATTCATATACTTTAATTTTCGAATAGCATCCAGCCACCAATGTTGAACAATCATTATCAAAAGCTATAGCATAACACCAATCACTTTATGAAATTGAAGATTGTTGAATTATTTAATAATTGAAAGGTTTGAGATTTATTGAATGAGTAGATTAAATAGTTTATTATTCTTTTATATTTAATTTACTATTTAAACATTCTATTTCTTTATTTTGCTCTATATTGATCACTTATTTTTACTCACTCTGATTAAAATTCTAAGAACCTAATAATAAACAAGATAATAGCTCCTTACATTTATTATATTGTTCAAATTAATTGAATTATTCTAATTTAGGATTAAATTTTGAAGTCCAACAGATATTGGTTTTCTAAATATCTTTTATAAATAATTATAAGTGATCATCGGTTTTGTTTTAATTTATAAACATAATTTCTAATTCTTCATAAAAACTATATTAAGAATATTGTGATCCTTATTATTTAAGATTTTGAATCCAGTCCATCATAATAGTAATCAATTAGTTTAATTATTGGATTACATATGATTTCATTTGATCTACAATACCATGCAATGATTCAACTAATTTTAATTAATTCGTTATTATATTTTCTACTTTTTCCATCTTTTTTACTTAATTTTCTTCAATTAATGAAATAATTTTTTTTAATCCAACCATTTTGGCATCTTAATCTGTATCGTCTAAACATTCAGTACATAGGAGTCTCTAATCCCTTGGTAATTTTGGATCAAGTGCAACAGTAATGACTGGTAGATTATGTCCTTTAGAGCATTGAAACTCTTTTTGATTTTCTATCATTTTTGGTTTTAACATTTAATTTAATAATGAAATTTTTGGAAAATTAATTCGCTTTTATATTGCATAAATTCTATAACTTATGCAAGAAATATTTATTTTATTCCTTAAGCAAAACATATTTTTCATTTTTTTTTGAAGGATTCTACAAATATGTAGGTTGTTTAAAAAAGTTTTGCTCTGTGCAATTAATTCTTGTGCCTAACAAAATCTATGCCTGCAATATTTGCTTTTAGTGTACTTCTTATTATATCACGCATAATTTGACTAAAAGTATTATTTGGATGACTAAATGAATCAACTTTTCAACTCCTAAGTCGAATAATATTATTTGGCATCTTTTACCTTAAAAATTTCCACTTTAATAGGATATTTTTAATCTAAATTCCAGGCAAGAGTTCACTGTCTATAAATTGAATTATTGAATCTAACTACATCTTTAAATTCCACTGTTTTTGAATCTTCCATCATATCATAAAATTATAATTGTAGTCTCTATAGAAAAATTTCATATTTATAATCATTACCCATTAAAAGCCTTTATATCAAATTCCCAATCCAATTTTTGAGTATTTAGAGAAAGCAAATATAGTAAATAATTACAAAAGAATAATATTTTATTCTAAAATATTCACATTCTGGATAGACAAATAGTATTATCACTTTCTTGTCCAATTGTATCATATCAACCATTAATATTAGTATTTTTTAATTATTTTCTTATAAATCCTCTATAACATGTATTTCAATACTAATATAATATTTTCATTTATTCATTACAGCTCAATATTCAACTATAAAATATTTATATTCTAAATTAGAAAGACTGTTGCATATCTTCTTAACTCTTTTAGCAAATACACATTTAATTTATATTTTAATTGATAATCAGTGCATTTTTTCTTTATATCAAGTAAGAAAAAGGAATAATTATTCTTTTTATTAAAAAATACTAAATCATTTCTATTTCATTCATATTTTAGTATTTTATTCAAATTTACTTTCACTTCATAGATCATTAACGTATAGCTCATTTTTAGGCTTTCGCTTGAACAGTATCTCTTTCGTTCATAAGTTATTAGATTGGTAGATTTCTCTTATTTTAAGAAATAATATTAATTAGATTTAAGTGAAAATATCTTAGAAAATGATATTTGATATAGAAAATGTAAAACATAATTGCATCAGATTCACACTTTCAAGTAAGACTAAATTTAATTTGAGTGGGAATATTAGAAGCTGTTAAGTATTAGTAATCAATAACTTGTTTTTTTAATTTACAATATAAGAAATTTTATTCTTGTTATTCATTTTTTTTTATGATGTCTTATATTACCCTATGATGCTTAATGCATTTTTTGTGAAACGAGATCAGAGATAGAATAAAAAATTTATATCTGCCTTTTCATATTCTAGGTTTCCTGATTTATGAACCGATAGATATCTTACACTATATCAATGAAATTACTGTATTATTAAATGATAATTCAAATAAGCATTATTTTCATTGTATTATTCTTAATAAAGTCTGTTAATTACTACTATTATTATCTGGGATGATGAAACATTGATTTAATTTTTACTAGCTTTATATATATTTCTTTTTTACTCATTATATAGAGCAAGATATACTTAGCTTTAACATTTTCAAGTTTAAAGCTTAAATTTATAATAGATTTCTTTAAATATCAGTATCTACGATTCTAAATCTGAAATTAACATATATTTATTAAATTATAATGATCTTCTAGACAGGTTATAAGAACATAAATCTCAGACTAGGAAATACAAGGTTCACTTTTTGACTAAATGATGAACAAAGGCAAGGAGAATAAAACTAAAAAGGCAAATGCTAAATTAGTGCAATTTCTAATTAAATAATAAGATCTTTTGTATAATCATGAAGAAGCAAGAGAAATTACAATAATAATGCATATTTAGAATAAATATTTGTAATAATTTTATATTTTAGTTTGACACTTGTTATAAGTGAAGAAGTATATATGATGGTAAAAATAATATAATCCTGATATTAAACTAACATTTTCATTATATTTAGCTCTAGAATTTAAATGATAATAATGGAATAGTATTGAATTTTGTCATCTTTTAAAAAGTTTAGTAAAATTTAATAATAAAGATTTATAAATTAATATTTCTTTGCCTAATAATATTCAAATCAGCTTGAGAATTTTTATAATTAATAAAAGATTAATATAAAAGAAATGCTGAATTAGTTGTTTTGAATTGCAAAATTGTCCCTTTTTTAAAGATTCATTTAATTATATTTTCTCCAATAATTTATAATTGACGAAAATATATTTGATTATGATAAATAAAGATTTTTACAGAATAAAACACTTAAATCTTCTAATTATTTATGAAAAAAATAAAAAAAATAAAAAAAATAAAAAAAACTAAGAGAATAAATAATTAGTAGTTTTTACAAATGAATTCATAATTGCTGTCTAATGGTCTATCTATTGAATAATTGTCAATTATCTATATGAATAATATAGTAAAGTATTGCGACATACATGATTTACCTAAAAACTACCTGCTCATTTGAAGGGTAATTCTAATTTTATTTTTATTTTGTCTAGCTTTGTTTAAACTGATTTACTGATGCATTTAGCTGACATTTTGGAGAAAAATAAAATATCTCTTCTATATTTAAATCAATCTTGGATATTACTAATCTTGTGTTATTCAAATAAATAAATGAATATCATAACCATAATTATTAGAATATAACATTTATTAGGAATTCATCCTTAGAGTTAATTAAAATCAAAATGTTAGACGAATAAGATTGAATTTCAATTTATTATTTTTTCTTTAAAATACAATAAAATATGTCATACATAGATAAGCAAACAAACTATAAATTTAATTTATATGTAACAATATGAATAAATAAAATGCTAATTGGATATTTTAATGAAGAAATAAAAATTAATAAAATGTTAATCTTGATTACTCCTCTAATTCTATTTGAACTACTGATGCGGCTTCTGATATTTAAAAAAAAAGACCTTCTTTTATATTATTCAAGATAAATAAAATATTTATATTTCCAGAAAAATCTTATTCAAATGAATAATAATTAAGTAGGTATTATTTTTTAAGATGTAATTATATTAGGCTTTATATTTGGACGGCTTTCCAAAACATTAAGTGCTTAACTAATAATAATAATAAGGTAAATAATAATCAGCTGGAGTTTGGATTATAAAGGTTCTAGGTTACCAAATTCTATTAAAGTTAATTAACTGGGTGGCTAAACTTTGTGGACATTGTCATCATGGCACCACAACTCTGTGCATCCAACTCAATTAAGTCTATCCAAAACAAAATGGTCCAGAGCTCAGGATTCTTGTTATCCTTATTTCCACAGCCTCTTGTGTTGTGCAGAGAATTTGAAATCACATCTCAATGAATTTCTGTTCATATCCAATCAGCAGATAGAGGTGCAGATTTGGAACTTCTGGCCATACCTATTATGATTGGGAGAGAGATTAATTTCACTTCTAATTATAATGTGGACAATGTAAAATTATTTAACTTTAATTCTTATTTGCTTATGGATTCTCAACTTAAAATGGAGGAAAGCTTAATTTGCGAAATTGGTCTACAAGAAGATATCCTCCAAGAATTAGAAGAAGAAGAATGCATAATAAATTCGGCCTCTGTTAGGTGTTTATAAACCTTTACTCGTTCGAGGACAAAAGTTATAATCAACAGTCTAGACCTAAGAAAAAGGAAAAATTGTTTTGAAATAATCGAATGAGGAAATAACAAAAGGAATATTAAGTGATATTAAGATTATCCCATAGTGAGAGAATGGCATTCTGACTAATAGCAAAAAAAGTTTTATTTATTGGGATCACTCAAATAATTTTCTTTAATGCAATAGTGGGATGGATCAGGGGTTTAGTCTTTATGCTAGACTTAACACAGAGGTAATGAAAAATATTGAAGGAAGGTTAAATATGAATTAAACATTCGGATCCAACCATATAAAATAGGACAAAGTGTATATAGGGTTTCAATTTGAATTATAGTGACTTGAACCATAGCCTATATCCTGTAATTTCCTATGAATTGATGAATATAAGTCATCAGGGGTTAAGACTAATGTGCTTTTCTTTGTGTCAAATCCTACTCTGTCCCTCAATCATTATTGGAGCCCAAAATGCCAGACTATTGAACTCCCTGATTACCAAACAAGTTTTTTCTCTTCACAGTTGACGATAAATTTCTTCTCTATTATTCTTTATTTTACTGATTTTTGGTGGAGGATTTTAATTTTAGATATATATAATCTGTAACATAATCAAAAATTTCAATTCAATTATTGAATTAAAGATATATTTCGAATTTTAATCAAATAATTTTATGAGTAAGAGGCTANAAACTTTGTGGACATTGTCATCATGGCACCACAACTCTGTGCATCCAACTCAATTAAGTCTATCCAAAACAAAATGGTCCAGAGCTCAGGATTCTTGTTATCCTTATTTCCACAGCCTCTTGTGTTGTGCAGAGAATTTGAAATCACATCTCAATGAATTTCTGTTCATATCCAATCAGCAGATAGAGGTGCAGATTTGGAACTTCTGGCCATACCTATTATGATTGGGAGAGAGATTAATTTCACTTCTAATTATAATGTGGACAATGTAAAATTATTTAACTTTAATTCTTATTTGCTTATGGATTCTCAACTTAAAATGGAGGAAAGCTTAATTTGCGAAATTGGTCTACAAGAAGATATCCTCCAAGAATTAGAAGAAGAAGAATGCATAATAAATTCGGCCTCTGTTAGGTGTTTATAAACCTTTACTCGTTCGAGGACAAAAGTTATAATCAACAGTCTAGACCTAAGAAAAAGGAAAAATTGTTTTGAAATAATCGAATGAGGAAATAACAAAAGGAATATTAAGTGATATTAAGATTATCCCATAGTGAGAGAATGGCATTCTGACTAATAGCAAAAAAAGTTTTATTTATTGGGATCACTCAAATAATTTTCTTTAATGCAATAGTGGGATGGATCAGGGGTTTAGTCTTTATGCTAGACTTAACACAGAGGTAATGAAAAATATTGAAGGAAGGTTAAATATGAATTAAACATTCGGATCCAACCATATAAAATAGGACAAAGTGTATATAGGGTTTCAATTTGAATTATAGTGACTTGAACCATAGCCTATATCCTGTAATTTCCTATGAATTGATGAATATAAGTCATCAGGGGTTAAGACTAATGTGCTTTTCTTTGTGTCAAATCCTACTCTGTCCCTCAATCATTATTGGAGCCCAAAATGCCAGACTATTGAACTCCCTGATTACCAAACAAGTTTTTTCTCTTCACAGTTGACGATAAATTTCTTCTCTATTATTCTTTATTTTACTGATTTTTGGTGGAGGATTTTAATTTTAGATATATATAATCTGTAACATAATCAAAAATTTCAATTCAATTATTGAATTAAAGATATATTTCGAATTTTAATCAAATAATTTTATGAGTAAGAGGCTAAAATAACAGGAATATTAATACAAACCTATTTAGAAAATTAAAAGAGGAAACAATTATTATTCATAAGTTTTCAAAAATGTTTTGGATAAATTAAATAAAAAACCAATATGGTAGAAAAAAGGATAAAATTATAACAGCTTTAAGACATACTAATTGTTTCAATTATTGATTGCACTATCATTTACGATATATCTAGAAAAGTGAGTTAAATTACTTTCCACATCTGGAATGTAGACCGAAATTATTAAAAGAGAGAATTCGTCAATTATATATAAAGATTTTATTTAAATTTAAATTAATAATATTCTTAAGAAAATGAAAAGAATTATAAATTTCTATTAACTTAACTATTTTAGGTAGAAGAAAGAATTAATATGGAAAAAATCGTTGAAATTAATAGAGTGGATTTATAAAATAATTATTAAATTAAATTCCTCACTATTATCCATTTAGTTTTGAAGGACATTCTTTTTATATAAATATTTGCTCACAAATTCATTTACTATTGAAATCTAGATTAATACAATAACCATTGAGCAAGACTGAAAGAAAAGTATAATTTCTTATATTTTAGCAAATAGACAAAAAGAAAGATATTTAAGTCACAAAATACTCTAACTAAAAAGTTCAGCTTGTAGTTTTTTTCCATGAAAATTATGTTAAAGATTAAAATAAATTTTGAAAGTAATCATTCAGATAATCAAAATATAAATTATCATGAATTTTGGTGAAAATATTTTGTAAATTTACTTCACCTGTAATAATATTGATTCAAGTAGTCTTTCTTGAGAGGTCTGCAAAAATTAACAAGCTTATATAAACTGAATGTTTGGAAAAAGGAAGAACTAACAAATGCTTTGATAGAGGTAGATATTGAATTGTAGTAAGAAAGGTAAATCAAATCATATTATTATTATTATTAACTGAATGTTGGGATAAAAAAAGAAGGTATAGAGTGAATTTCTAATAGTAAATATTTACAGTGGAAGTTATAAAATCATAAGCATTCTAATAAATTAAATGCATTTAATATTTTTCGTCAAATATTAAGCAATAGAATTAATAAAAAAAACTACTTTTATAATAATACATAAGAGGAGAACTGATGAATTAACTATTCTAAAATCAAAGTTAATTTTGATAATAGTAAATATTTCAATATTTAGATTTTATTTGTAACTAAAATAAATTGAACTTAAAATTCTTGAAATAAACAATTAAAATCAAAAAATTTTTACTGTTATATTGCTCTAAAAATATTATGGTTTGATAATTAAGATTACATATCATTCACAAATGCATTTTAGATTTTCCTTTATGAAGTATTTGCATACAATTGCAAAGACTCCAGTTTCATTTTTTCCACTACAACAGTATTTAGGATCCATAAGATAGAAAAAGGTTAGTATACTCTATTTAGTCAAATCTAAACTTTTTTCTAAAAATGAACCAGCTTTTAACTTTATCACAAGAATGATTGCTATAAATTTATTGATTTTAAAAAGAAATATTTAAGCAATATGTTAGAATAAGAAAATTAATCAAATTTTGTTCAATCAGAAAATTAATTATCATCAATTAATAAGGATTTTGATAATATATTTATATAAAAAACAATATATTTTAATAGATATTGGAATTATAAAAATATCCTATTTTATTAATTATGTAAATGTCATCTGATCTAGATAAGAAATTGTGTTAAAAGCATAAGTTAGAAATTTTAACGATAGATTTAAAATAATCAACTGCTCAAGATGACAAATACCTCTGCATCAAGTGCCGAATGGAAAAAATTGATATTTAAAACATGGCTTTGGTAGAAGAGACAAAAACTATGATTAAGTAAATGAAGAGTGAGTAATATAATAACAACATTAAGGAGTATTAAGGTAGGATTGAAAATTTTAGATAAATACAATCATAAGTTAAAGAATATAAGTTGTTAATTAACAAAACTATAGATAAAGTTTAAAGCAACATAGATTAGAGAATCACTCTAATGGAAAATGAACTTGATGAATCATAATCACAAACATTAATTTCTACTTTTGAAGAAGATGTCAAAATATTATCATAGAATTACAAAGGATCATTCAGCTTTGAAGTTCCTAAAGAATTGGAGAAGTTTCTTGATGACAATTCTTATATTGATTCTATTCAATAATAATTACAGTCGATAATTAATTGTCCAAAATTGACATAAATCAAGGAAGCCTTAGAAAAGGCTAAAGTTGAAAATGGACATACAGAAATAAAGTAAGTCTAATTACTTTCTAAAAAGGAAGAAGATCCATTAGTAATTATTTTTAATTATAAAAATAGAAAACACCTAGTTTGAAGATTTAATGTAATAAACATGGAAGAGAAATTATCATGTTTAATTTGAATCCTGAAAAAATTCAGTTTTCTAGATTAGCATGTGTTGAGTGTATATAATCAAATGATCCAATCAAGTACACAACTTTAGAAGATGCTAGTTTTAGATGGAATGAATATTTAGGATAAACTAGTGACTAGGTTAAACGATTTCAAAATTAAAGATGTTTAAAATCATCATAAATCATTGAGATCCTCCAAGAAATTTAAGAAAAGTACAATAGCAGTATTTCAGAAATAATCAATAAGGTAAAAATTGAATACTAAATGTACTCTTTAAATGAAATTAATGAATTTAATGAAAATATGATTTTCGAAATGAGTACTGAGTAAGTTAACGAATTAACTGAAATATTAAGTAAGAAAGACAAATTCTAAGTTTTGGCTGAAAAGTAATTAAATATTTAAAAAGAAGACCTTAATCAACTGGAAATCATATCAAATAATTTTGGAAAATTACTATAAAATGATTTACTTGCAACTGAAAGGATTAATAAGATCTTTAAGGACTTTAGTTCCAATTTTTATAATGTAAAGGAATGGAAAATTGATACTTTAAAAGAAGATAATCCAATTTCAAATCATTTATAGATGAAACAACTTAACTTATAATTACAACATTTTATTTTATATTAGGACATCTTAAATGAGGCCTTAAATTAGTATAATTTAATCATACTAACAATAAATAGTTTGTCTAATGAATTCAAAGATATTTAATTATAGCAAGTACAACTTTATTGTTATTAATAAGTTTAAACAATATGTATCAAAGTTTGAAAAAGATTTATCTCTTATGCACAAATTCTCTTAATTTGATTAAATTGAAGCTGAGTTGAAATTGCATAAACAAGAAAAGGAATCACTGAAAAATCAACTCACAGAAAGTGAAAAAATTAATTTAGGAAATCAATAAATTATTAATGACTTTAAGAAAAATGATGCAGAATAAATAAAGCTAATATAAGATTTGAGGAAACAAAATGAAGGCTAATCAATTAAAATAAAAGAACTTGAATAATAAAGTAAAAATTAAATTTTATTCAATATCTTATAGAAACTTAATGTGAAGTTATTGTTAAGGAGAAACAAGAAGAATTGTAAATTTGTTAACAATAAAATCAGAAGTAAGAGTAAATGCTGAAATAATTATAATAAACTTTGGTATAAGTAAAGGCTTTATTTCAAGTAGGATTAGTAATTTTCTTAATCACTAACATTCTCAACAATTTATAAGAATAGCAATTGTTCAGTTTCTTAAAATGGAAAAGTTATTGAAACAAGTTATAATGGTTGGTAATGTTGTATGTGTGATTAAATGATCCCTAAGAATGGTGTGGTTTAATTTGCTATTAAAATAATTGAAAATTCTAACATTATGATAGGAATTGGTTTTAGGGATATTGTATAGAGTAAGAATTATAGTTGTTGTCATGGTTTAGGAGGAGGGTATATTTATGATATTAATAGAATCAAAATAGAACATATAATATTTATTATAATGGTTAATGTTATAATCATGATTAATAAGATAAAAGTGGGTAATAAATCGCATTTCCATTTTCAACAAATGATATTATAATTGTTGAAGTAGATATTTAAAAGAAGTAAGTAAAATGGAAAAAGTAATCCACAAACCAATCATTTGTATTAATTTCTATTTATTAACAGACTTTGAATATTGATACATCCAAAGAATTGTATCCCTGTGTACATTTACAAGGTAGATGTAAAGTAGAGATATTAAATTAAGGGTTCAAATGAAAATAAATATTTTCTAAATTGATTCATATTTATTTCAATATAACAATTTTTATTATAAATGATTTAATGTTACAAAAACTTTTCAAATATAAAATATTACTTCCTTATGAATTTAATTAATTCTAATAATTATTATTTAATAGCAACCTTTTAATTAATAATTATTCAATTTGATCAGAATTTATGAAAATAATTTTATAAATATTAGAAATATATTAGAAAATTTTACAAAAATTGAAAACTTAATCAAATTTGAAATATCATAATTGTAAAATCTTTACATAACTTTTTTAATTATTTAATGAAGAAACTGTTCTAATGATTAGAGGCTAATAAATATTTAATTTATATTAGGAGCATAACTTAATTAACATCAAATTAATTTTTGATATTTATCTTTATCAAGTAAACATTTGCAACAACATTCTTATAATGAATTTCAATTAAAATGACCATTAGTTTTTTTGGCTATTATATTGATGAAACTTTCATATTTCCAATAATTTTGCTTAAAATACTATATATTATCCCAAAAATATTTCTTTAGCTGAGCACAAATTGAAAAACAAGCTTGAAATCTTATAAAGGAACTTTACTTTCAAATAGACTTACAGGAGTTTTCTGCCCTTTTATTCTTTTTGCTCAGAATTTAGTTTCGATTAGAACAATATAAATGTATCATGACTAAATCAATTTATTTCAAACACAAATTGTCTGGTAAAAAAGGATTAAAAAAAAAAGAAATCATGAAAGTAATACAAATAAATTCAATCAAAACAGTATCACCATATCGTTATATTTTTACCTTATATCGATAAAAAATAAAATTATAATTTAAAAAATTTAAGTTATGATATTCTTTAAAATTTAAATCTAAATTCATAATCAAG